AACATGATATTATTATTAACTCCAAGATAGTATATCCGATTTATGTAGATCCAAACATAGAAATCCAATTCTTACATACTTACAAATAATAATTAAAATTAAATAAATATAGGGTTCAATAACAGTTGCTTTATTTATCATAGTAGAACTAGAACTTAGTAGTCTGTCATAAAAAAAATATCCAAAGTAAATAATGAGTTAAAACATATAAATCTTCAGTACCTTAAAAGTTCGACTAGTACTTCAATTATAATGACAATATTCCATGAGATCTAGATTCATAAACAATAAAATTACTCCTTTGGAATTTAAAATTCCTTTCATCTTTGGCAACTAATACCTATAACGATATTAAAATTAATTTAGTTGTGTGGTGTATTTGGTAAATATATATATATTTCTTTTAACGCTAAACCGCCATTTATATATCAAAAATACCTGATTCGGTGTTTGATAATTATAAGTACTCGAGACCCGTACTCGAGTCTGTGTATGCGAATACTATAATTTGCTAACTCGAGTACGTGAGTACTTCTAAAATACTCGAGTCAGAACTCGAGTCGACTCGACTCGGCACATCACTAATGCCTACATAGATATATATTTATATAAAAAACATATATGCAAATGTATTTGAAACACATTTGCATCTTCTATAAGCCTTAAATGGGAATTTTCAGATACATATGTATGTCTTTTCATTAATTTTCTCTTATCACTTCGAAATCTCTGTATTGTTAATGAAATTAATCTTTTTCTTTTTTTTTTTAAATCTATTTTCAGGTGAAAATCTGGTTCCAGAATCGACGTTCTAAGTACAAAAAAATGATGAAAGCTGCGCAAGCGCCTGGTACCGGCGGCGGTATGCCATTGGGTGGTGGCGGTCCAAATCCTGGTCAACATAGTCCAAATCAAAATATGCACAGTGGTGAGTTTAAGAGGCAAATAACTATTACTTATGCACTAAATTACAATTAATAGTAAAGTATATCTAGCTACCGGCGCAGTGTTAAAAAACAAACTTAGTTGAATTAAATTGATTAATATCTAAAGACGATTTCTTCGAATGGAATGTTTTTTCTAAACTAAGTTTAGTTGAGAATTTGGAAATGAAAATTGAAATCAAATTATCTTAAAACCCAGAGAAAATCTTAAAAAATAGAACAGTTTCAGATTTTTTTTTTATTAAAAAGACCGGTGAACTCCAAAATTTTATTTCTTATTCAAGCTTAAGCTTTGATTTAATTTTTGAGCTGAGCCTTGAGCTCACACGTTTCTTAGTTACTTGAATCGAAGCTTTACACTTTTTTTGCATAACACCTAGTTATTATTTTAATGTTTAGTTAACAAATTATTCCTCGATTCTATTTATATCATTTTAACTGATTTATAAAAAGTTTATCTCATGTTTATTGCAGGCGGTAATAACGGCGGTGGCTCCAATAGCGGCTCACCATCACATTATCTACCTCCCGGACATAGTCCGACGCCATCAAGTACACCTGTGTCCGAATTATCACCTGGTAAGTAAAAGAACCAAATTAAAAAAAAAAAACATGTCAACTTTTTTCTATTTTTTCGGGTTATTTTAAACTTGGCAAACGTTAAAAAGTTTGAATGATTCAAATATAATATTCTAAATTTTGGCGTAGAGTGTAATTGGAAATCCTACAAAAATTCCCCAGCTAAATTTTGATTGAAAAAAATCCATTTAATTTCGAATAAAATTTTTTTTATTTTGAATTAAGTAATTCTAACAAGAAATTTAAGATATGTTGTCTTTTGCTAATAGATATGTATAATCTCTATCTATGTATATAAATCGACTATAAATTTTTTTTCTTTATCTCTTTTTCACTTTTCATAGAATTCCCTCCAACGGGTCTTAGTCCGCCTACGCAAGCGCCATGGGACCAGAAACCGCATTGGATCGATCACAAACCACCGCAAATGACGCCGCAACCACCTCATCCAGCGCCGCCACATCCGCAAACGCATCATCACAATCCGCCACCGCAAATGGGCGGCTATGTACCGCCACAATATTGGTATCAGCCCGAGACGAATCCGTCGTTATTAACGTGAGTTTAAAAATTCATACCAAAAATCAAATAGGGTAACTCATCGAAAAGCGTAAACCTCTTAAATAAACCGGTTTTTCATACAAAATTAAGAGAGTTATCGAGGATTACGCTTTTAGTTGAATTACCCAAATATAACTCGTACATGGAATTGTTGTGTAAAACCATGGTGGGATTATACCTGACAAAGTAATAAGAGTGAGAAGAAAGACTTGACTCTAGCTGATTTGAAATTTTTCCTTCAAAATTCTTTATAAGGTCAGGTAAGAATGTCAGAAAATAAAGCGCTTTTATTACTTCACCAATGTAGTATTGCGCTATGGAGTAAAACAAAATTGCATGTACGAGTATAATGAAAACTTATTTTAAAAGGACAAGATACATATTTTACAATAACAATGAAGTGTTTGCCCTTCCTTCAATCACAGGGTATGGCCAGCGGTTTAACACCAACACCACCAACACATACACCAAACCGATCCTATTTTCATAGATAATTCCAATGCGTATATTTAATGCGGTTACAAGCAACAAAGAAAGCAGACGTTTTTAAATAATTAATTTTAAATAAAGTGTAAAATATGTATTTACAAAAAGGAAAGCTGTAATTAAAAATAAAGTTTAACAATAAAATAATTTGTAAGAAATTAAATTAAGTGCTAAGATGAATTTAATGACAATTACATACTTATGTATAATTATTATAAATAAATGGAAAATATATATATAAATTAAAAAAAAAATTAGTTAAAACTTAACAGTTTAAAAGATATTAGTAAACTCGAATTAAGTGCTGAAAATGTTGATAATAATTCATTAATGAAAAAAGTAAAGAAAAAAATTAAAAATTTTAATAAAAAAAAAATTACAAAAAAAAAATATTTTGTCGTTTTGTTTTTGTCATACAAGAAGTGTGTAAGAAATATTTAAGAAATAAAATCAAATAACAAAAAAACAGTTTGTATTAGCAACTGTTCATAAAAAGTTGTAGTCGCTAATGAAAAAATATATAAAAAATAAAAATTATACGAAAATCAGTTAAATTCCGATCTCAATTATTTTCTTATAATTTTTATTCAGACTCCTTAATGTTTGCTAGAAATATCAAAAATCACTTAAAAAATTAAAAATTGAAAGGTTTAAAAATTTGTGTTTAATAAAAATTACTTTTATGTGCAATATTATTTTTAATTCAACACATAAAAAAAGCATTTTCAAAAATTAAAAAAAAAAATAACTAATATGAATAGTGACAATTTAAATTCGCGGTTGTTTTTAGTAGAAGCAACAACTTTTGTATAAAGGCTTAAGCGGAAGCAAGCACGAAAATTTTGAATCCTATTTTTTATAAACGAAAATTAAATTCCCCCAAAAATTAGTATTAACAATTTATGTTCAAATACTAAAACGTCCACTTTTGTAAATTTCTGTATAAAGTAATTCTTGTAGCATTTAGTCCAACCCCTATAAAATACATTAGAGCGTACGATATTTAAACAATTTCGTTAGTAAAATACTGTACATAGAACGATAAAAAAAAAAATAATAAAATAAGCAAAACAATAATATGTAAATGAATTCAAATTGTGAGGAATGTTTGGTTTTATTTAAAAGCTTTTTTTTTCAGTGGTAGATAAAATCACAAAAAAAAAGCAATACAACATATTTTATAATCACTGGTTCAGTTTGTAATATAACAGATGTGTATTATACATATTATACTAATTGCATTCAAAGTAAAAAATTGTCAAAAAAATTTCGTTAGCACAGTGGCCCAAACTCACTTACAAACTATTTGCAGCCAGTCAGTCAAATTCATTAAAATTTACGCAAAATAAACCAACAATTTTTTTTATAAAAGCTTAAAAAAAAGACATGAATGAATACTATCTACTTTTCCAGTATAAAAAAAATGCAAATAAAATTTATTTCCAGTTACTTTTTCTTTTGCTTTATTTTTAAACTCCTTGTAAATCGCATTTAGCACTTAGTCAATCAAATGAAAAGAAACTGAAAATAAAAGTTATAAAAAGTGAACGTACATAAATAGTTTTTTTTTTCGTTATACAAAGTTAAGTAAGTAAAACTATATTGAATATTTAATTATAAGCAATTAGTCTATATATATATATATATATAGATACAGATAAACTATAAATACGATAGTAATTCTAATATTGAATTTAGTACTAAATTATATAAATAAATAATTAGCAACTGTGTCGTAATTGTAAAAAAATGAAACAATACAAATACAATAATAATTCATATGGAAATTAAATTAAAAATAAAAGAAAGAAATTTTAAATACAAAAAATCCCACTTGTATTTATCTGTGTTTTAAGGATTAACGGTGCTGCGAAATGGTAAGTTAAATTAGTAAATATGTAGTAATTTTGGTTGTCCTCAAAAGGCCCCTGACACTCTAAAAATTGTTTCTATTACCTTGGTAGTATAGCCAAATATCTTGGTATATTTCATGATAAACTATGCACTTGAAGCGTTAGAAGCTCCATCTATAGTCGATATTTATCAAAAGCACGCGAATAACCGCAAAGATGAAACTAAGTAAATTGCGTTGAATGGCGAGTATCGGCTTAATAGGAGCAATAATAAAAAAAAAAAAAAAATAACGACCAGCCCTGATGACGCATTCAGCGCTTCGGTTTCAATACCTTCCTTCCCCATTCTAACAGAAAGGGACGCTGCTATCTCAGCTGAAGGTTTGGTATACAGATTGATCAAAACTTCACCAGCTCATCACCTCTACAGCACGGCAAAATAGACTCCAAAAACGCCAAATGTTAATCAAAGAAAGCCCCTTGGGCATTTCCCGAGAAATTCCACCCTGTACCACTATCACCTCAGTTAAATGAATATTTCAGCACTGCTGTCTGCGGCTGCTCATGCTGGAAGAAGAAAAGTCAGAACATAGCCTCTGTGCCACACCTAAATAGTACATATAAATATTTGAAGCTTGTAATGACCCTGTAGTACGGGGGAGCGACTACAGGACTCTGGAATCGGTAGCTACCTGGTAAACTCCGTCAATTACCGACCGACTACTGGCAGTCTATTTCATCGATTACTTTTACAAGGCAATGTCCTAGGCGGTAGTCACCATCGGCTCTCTCTGCACTACCTGGAGTTACTAAAATAGTCACTTGCGTGATTTATGGGCGCCCTTCTCTGGTAATTTTTCGCTATTCTGCTTCTGGTACAAACATGACACAAAGAAAGACTTCCGAGGCTTCGACTTTATTCAATATCTGCGTGGGTAGACTGCTTTCGAAACTCACTTCACCTTTAGGAATGAGCAAACGGGAAGCAGTAGTTGCAAGACGACAGCGCTGAATTTCTGCGCGGATGGGTTGAAGCTTGACGGAAGTGTCGGTGGATGGATCTTTCATGCAGGGCGCCATCATCAGGCAGAGTTTGCATTAAAGAAGTAGTCGAATGTCCGTCAAGCTGATCGACGTTGGCAATGAAATTTTTCCCAGGTACCAGGTCATATGGATATTGCAGGCGCGCAATCGCGTTGCGAAGACGTGGGTCAGAACCCCAGAACCGGGTAAAACTACATACAAAATAAGTTGTTCTTCACAAGACTGAATCACTGTCATGAAGTTATAATAACGACCAAAAATATTTGGTTTGTTAATTTAGCTACTTTTCTTGGCCATAATTAAAATTTTGACTTAGCTTTTTAAGATTTATTTTTTTCTCCCATTTAGATTTTTCTCTGAAAAAGTTCTGGCAACACTTATCCTGAGGCATTGCATAGTAAAGTGTGTTTAGATCAGTACAAATTCTATAGAAAGCTTTAAAGATCTCCAGTGGGATATGTCAGAGAGAGCTTATATTATTTATGTCAGCCGATTATAAAATGAAAGGAAATTTGAAAATTTTGCCATGCATAACTTTTTCACAGCCATCAGCAACGGTTGTGGGACCAGCAGATTTCTCACGTCGTTGATACAGGATCTGCTCCATCACCCCATTGCCGCATATTTTTTCATGGCAACAAAACACTCGGAGGGGTACCAATCGATAAGACAAGTACACCCTGTTTTATTGGAAAATAGATTTGTGTTTTTTGGCATCTTTAGAGCTTTTAAATATCTGGCTATATGTACAAAAAGACATGTGTACAATATTTGTAACTAACTATAACTTATGTCGGAAAATTCTTTGACATTTTTTTTGAACTTCATTGCCTCAGCTATAAATATTCGCGCGTGTTGCCAATGATATTTCTTAACTAATTATGAGGCTCCAATAGAGAATTGTGCTGCACTAGCCGAAGGATTAACTATCTCACGTCACTTAGCAATAATTATTGACCACCTGTGATACAATTTATGCGACTTCAGCGCGCAAACAAACTTGGCAAAAAATAATTTCCCAAGCAGCTGCATGTCCCAGGATACTTAGAAAACAATTTTATTGGCTCACGTGTGATCTCGTTAATTGTTATTAGTTAATTGTTAATTGTTAATTGCTGAGTGTTATTCCAGCTGCCTTGGTTTGTTATTCGATGTCATTCGAAGTTCTTCTGAACGCCAGAAACAAATAATTACTGCACTTAAGAATAGCGAAAATCTATGGAGAAAAGGAAATTAATTTGTGTGTGAAGAAGTTCTTAAAATTATGTCACATATGCACATACTTACATACATACATATGTATATGCACGCCAAGGGAAGAAGTATTCTAATAAGCAAAGGATACAAATAATTAAATTAAACTAATAAACACAGCAAATTGGGTGGCAAACTTCTGAGTATTCCTACAACTATTACCATTACCGTACAACTCTGCGCGCCGCTAGCTAGTCTCGGAGTTAACTTAAAGTTGGGCGCACTTGGGTGCTCCACTTAATATGCAATGCGATCGCCAATTTTATAGTGATTTAACAAATTGTTTGGCGCGCATGCGCAACAGATACGAGAAAGTAAGAGTACCACACACAATCGTGATTATGTGCATATAGGGCGCTAAGTA